AGAGAAGTTGGGAAGAATCATGATAAGCCAAACCCTGAATATAGAGAGTAAAAATTGCATATTGACTTAAAATAATGCACATACTGGGAACACTATCACTTTGAGATTACAAATAAGAAAAATATATGACTTCTGTAAAATAGGTAGAATCAAAATGGCAAACAATTTTGAATATGAACCATAAAGATAAATACCTGACCAATCAACATGAAACAGGCAATATTTTTCAACCAATAAAAATTAAAGAAAGCAGAATCCAAAAATAATAATTTCTAGAGTGTGGTTGAAGAGAAAAATAAAAACAAAAATAAAATGTATTACCTAGCACAGGGATTGAGCTCACAACCTACAGTCAACCAGCAAGAGACTAGCTTTTAATGGAGATGTCACTGCCTGTTGATTGGAATAAGATCTCCCAGTGGAGCTCTATAAAAGCCAAGTATTTACCAGAGACGCTCCACTGAGTTAGGTTGTGACACAAGGTCGTTGTTAACATGGAGATCCTGAGCACATACACTTAGGCCACTGGACAAAATTTACCCAGCCCCCACTTACACTGGATTGGGCACAAAGCTTGTCTTAGCTGGACATGGTTGGACAATGCCACGAAACAGATACTACAATTTCATCGTAGTCTGTGGGCTGCAGAACGCTGTAGCCAAGGCCTTTTCTCTCTAATTGTGGGTAACATGATAAGGAATTCCATGAAGGTGAGAAGTTTACCTCTTCTCAATTGATCTTATTCTTTAAGCACCAGTTTTGAAAGGAAATTTCTCTCCTCATCAGAATTTGGTGAGAGTTTTGCATCTGCGTTGTGTAAATTGTGCTGTCTTGGAGTGGTATTTGGATGCCAGTTAGGCATCTAGGATATTGGTTGTTCTGGGTCAAACAACTGTGACCCATCCACAAGTAAGTTATTTTAGAATGATTTTGTTTTAATTTTCAATCAAGTTAACTTAGCTCGGGTATGTATGCACACCATTTCTGATTATTTTTGTTCTCTCATTCTTTAGTTTAATCCCTTCCCCCTGCCATTAGGTGACAGAATTCTCAGTGGATCTTTTCTGTTAATTCATGTCAAAATATTAATTTACCCCCAAAGCAAAAAGAATTTATATTTAATAAAATTCACACCAGATTCTCCCAGAGTGAGGTCCTTCCATTGAAGTTCGGTTGCACAGACCTCTGCAACCACCCTAAATATGGACGACTCAGGTGAGCTATTTCTAAGTGTGGTCTCTACATTTGTGCTCACCTTGATAAACAAACCAAAAATAGATTTTAAAATTTTTTTTTTTTAAATTGTAAAAAATTCCTTCTAAGTACCTTGAATATCATCCACACAAAGAAATGTGAATAACTGTCTGATTTTTGGTAATTTTTTTCATTCTGAGGGCTGGAATTGTTGCGAGGCAAGTTAAATAAATTTTGATTTAAAATTTATAACTTCCAAAGAGTGCCAAAAATTTAGTAAAAAATTAAACCAATTTTTATTTAAAATTTATAAGTACTCGGTGTGAATTAATATTTGCAATGAGTAACTTTACACTATTGAATGATATTGGGTGAATTAACAGAAAACATATGTGATACTTTTCACATTTCATGTATGCATTTTTCTTAGTTGTTATTGTATTTATTTCTGAGTGTGTGCTTGTGGAGAGTGATTGGCAGAATGAATGGTTTCATATTTATTTAGTTTAGCATAATTTTCTTCTTTTTTTTTTCTTTTTTTTAAGCATTTCACCACAAGCAAGGTGGGAGTGCCAATAGCACACAAAGGGTTACAGAGAGTGGGAGCAAGAGTAAAGAGGCGTGATAGAGGAAAAAATGAAGAGAAGGATGGGGAATCAGATCAAGGCATCTGAAGTTGTCGATTGACATTGCATTTGATTAATTGAAGATTATAGCTATCAGGGAAGCAAGTAAGAGGAAGGGAGTTCCACAGATGAGAAGTGCAAGACATGAAGTTCTTGGAGTAGAAGAGACAGCTACATTTAACAGTTTCAACAACTTTCCTTGTGGTAGACGAAGCTATTGATTCAATGTATTTGTTCCATCTCAGGTCAGCAGACAGTATGACACCAAGCAGGTGCAGAGATGCACTCTTGTGGAGGTGAGCATCAAACATTCTAATGGAAGGCAGGGAGGGTTGTCTGTGGTGAGTAAAAGAGAGCAGTTTTGTTTTTGAGGCATTAAAGTTTACCAGCCATTTCTTGCCCCAGTCAACCAATCTTTTCAAGATCAATGGCCAGGTTAGTTTTGTCAGATTTGCAGAAAATATATATGAGGCAGGAGTAAATAGTGATATCATCTGTGTACTGATTTTTCTACTGTAATTTAGGATTGTGGGGGTAGTTTACTTACTAACCTAGTCTAGTTTTTGAAAATCTTTATGCATTGAAAATATTTATTATATATTTAATAATTATATAATTATTATTGTTATTTTAATGCTTCTGCCATCAAACAAAAATTGTACATATGGGGACTAGTTAGGACTTAAAAGTAATTGTGGCATTTTGGTAACTATAGTAAGAATGGTATGTGGCATTATGGTGAATGGAACATTATAGGATGATTGGGGCAATGATTGGGGTTAACTAAGTTAAAGCATCAGATAGATGAAGACCAACAAATGCATGTAAAGGGTGTCCCCAATTTTAGCCTTGTTCCATATTTGATGTATATAAATAATCAGTAAATATTTTTTTGTCTGTTACCTGGTGAACCCTTGTCACTCATCTTTATACCCCACCCCATCAAAAAAAAAATCACAAAAGATCTCAGGATTATTTGCAGTTGCTTAATTGCTGAGAAAGTCAAGCAGAAGACTAGGAAATCAAAACAGAGACTATAAGAACAAAGACTATTATTTAATTTTCAACTAAATGGAGCACCAACAGATAGTATATGTTATATGCTAAAAATCCCCCTCTTTGTCTGAGGAAGTGACAGAAATTTCTTTATTTTTGAATTGCTTTTAAGCGTCTCTGTTTCAGAGTTCTTTCATTGTTTGTTCCCAGAGATGCCAATTCCTGAAACTGAAATATTGTAATTCAAACTAGTATCATCATCTCTGTTGTTCTGATCACTAAAAATTTGAGAATTAATTACTGCCACTCTGGGAACAAACAATGAAAGAACTCTATCATTCATACATATGCACACACCTCTTCTTTCCAGATGTTATGATGATAGATACAAGTATTAAAATTCTGGAAATTTTGAGGGGTTATCTTAAAAAGACCTCAAAGAAAATGAACCTGCTTTTAGAATTCAGGAAGTTGGAGGAAATGAAACAATATTAGATTGTAGAGTTCAAAATTATCTTAAACATTTTAAGAGGGTTGACTTGGCCTTTAAGATAAAGGCCAGCAGTGGATGACCATCAGTTGTGGATTATGATGTTTTAAAAAATAAGATTGTAAAGAATTCAATTGCCTACAGGAGAAAACTTCAAGAGAACTTTTAAGATCCTCAAAAGATATATATAGAGCATTATATCACAGTCAAAAGATATACAAGAGCTTTGAAGATGTATCCTGTGTTTAAAATACTTTTGGAATAACCAAAGATTTATTCTTTACAGCTCTGACTAATTATCTGATGACTTATTCAAACCTTTGTTATTTTAATTCTTGTTTTGACTGGCCAACTCTCTTGCTATCTTCAAGTATATTGAAATTTGGGCCATATGTAACCATCATACCAACAAAAAATGGTGTGGTCAAAATAACAGTCATTCCCTTGACACCACTATTATTGTATACACTTTTGATTCCCTTGACAATTTTTATCTACAAGATTAGAAAAATGAGAACCAAGTACAATTCAATATTCATAAAGAAAGAAATTTGAAAAGAAATCTTTTTATTCAAAAATTTATCAAGAAATATAAACTTATCAAATTATGTAAACCAACTACAATATTATTTACCCTTTTATAAATAACAATGAAAACATGTTTTTATTCAATCTAATAAATAAATAGTGTTTAAAATATTTGTTGTCAATTCTCAAAAATAAAGAAAATGTATTAACCCATTTTCATGTCCCTTTGACACACTGTTTTTTTTTTGGGTGGGGGGATAAATGTTAAACATTGCTGAAATTTCTTTCTTTTGATCATTCACCTCCTCAGTAGCTAAATAATATAGATTCATCTTGCACAATATATATTTAGTGATCAAATCAACAGAGATGATGATACTAGTTTGAATTACAATATTTCAGTTGAAACTATCAGACTGAAGTTTTGAAAAAGTTATAGAGTAGATTTGAAAAAAAGTTATTTTAAGTTATTTTAAAAATTTGTAATTTCTTACAAATTATTTAATTCACACACACACACACACACACACTTATTCTCTCTCATACAATTACATTCTTTTTCTCTCTCAAACACATTTTCAAATATATACAAATACCAATATTTCATACATATCACTTTCTCATATAAAGTCATTCAAAAAGTAATGTCTGTTTTAATTTAATTTTAAAAGTATTAATCTGATATTTTTTTCTTTTTACTACAAACCATAAAGTAACTAAAAGGTCATGGGGAAAATTCGTGTTGTTGGTGTTATCTTTTTCCTAGACATAATCTTCATTTAAAATGGCTGCCACTCTGGACATGTGTAGATACCAAAGAGCTGACATAGAACTATTTTTGGAAAGAGAATTTGGTGTAAATTTTCACAGGGGATTAATGAATGTTTACAGAAGGCTGCACTTGATATAATCACAGTAACGGGTGTGGTCTGTGGCAATCCCAAAAAGAAAAGAATAATTGATCTTAGTGACAGGTCCTGTAGTGGCAGGCCCTCTACTGCTTTGGAGACATTACAACTGGTAGAAGAATCACTATTGCAAAATTCTATGAAAGTTTCTTAGTTACTTAAAGGTCTTTAGAAAATGGGCTTCAAGAATGCTGACAGACTCCATGGAGAAGAAATGGGTGATTGCTGCCAAAGATCTTTTAGAGCTGCACAGCATGGATGGCAGCCAGAGAACAGCACTTCTTTAAGTCTTATTATGATGATAATGATGATGTGAAAGAAGCAAATTGGTAATGGCTAAGAAAACAGCCAAAAAGCTTCTATGAGATGCAAACACATGCCTTCATTCAAAGGTGGAATACAATGACTGAGACAAATGTCACATTATGTTGAGGGCTAACTTTGGCATTGTAAGACTTCTGTGTTCAATTTGGTAGGCTTTGTCTACTTCAACTATTAACTGTTGTAAACTTGTAATTAAAGAACAGGCATTACAGTCTCTCTCTCTCATACTCTCCCACTCTCTCTCTCTCTCACTCACTCACTTCCTCCCTTTCACTTTATTTTTCCCACTTTCTCACTCTCTCTCTCTCACACTTTCTCTCCTTCTCACTCTCATACTCTCTCTCATACTTACTCACACTCTCTTACTATCACTCTCCCTCACTCTTAATCTCTCTTTCTCTTTCTTATTCTCTCACTCACTCACTCACTCTCTCACTTTCACTTTATTTCTCTCACTTTTTCACTCTCTCTCTCTCACTCTCTCTCATACTCACTTGCTCTCTCTCTCTCTCATTCGCTCTTTTATTCTCACTCTCTCTCTCTCTCACACACACATTCATGCACATAGAGAAAATAGATAGAAATTTTAAAAATAAGAGAGAGAGAGAGAGAGAGAGAGAGAGAGAGAGAGAGAGCAGTAAGCATGGACAGACAGCTAACTAGATGGATATTTAAAAACATAGAGAGAGTGAGAGAGAGTAGGGAGGGAGGGAGAGAAATAACTGGAGATCAAACTACCTAAATATTTGAAAACTGAGATAGACAGACAGACAGAGGCAAGAAAAGGAGGTAGACAGATTGATAAATGAATGTGTACATTGTTTTTTTTAAATAGGTGTCACTAGAGAGACTCTTTTGCTAATACACACAGTCATACAGAAAGATAAACATTGACATTGATATGAAAAGTCACATTTTCACTCTAACCATTGCATTTGTATTTATACTTACACGTGTTTGTTGGCAGTGTTTTTATTTTCCTTTTCCTTCAAATATTTTCATTTGGTGGAGAGAAAAAATACTCTCCAGTTCTCCCACTTGAGAAATACTGTCAAAATATCTCAGACTGTGAACAAGAAAAGGACCCAGGAGGCTCTTGTGAGTATCTCAGTCCAGCTACAAAAGTTGGAAGCTTTTTATAAAAAAAGCTATCAAATTGTTTTTATCCTTTTCTTTTCCTTATTTTTTTCACATTACGTGAAATAACTGCTTTCATTAATTTACATTATTTAACCATATTCCTAGCCATTTTTTTTTATCAGAATTAAAATCAAATAAGATCATAAGATTTTTAAATAGAGAAAGCTTTAAAGACAGATTTTTAAAATAAACTTTTTCATCTTAATATTTTCAAAAGAAATCTTCATTCTTTTATTTTCTATGTACAGTTAAATTTCCTAAATACCTATTGTCTATTATGTTAAATCTCTTATGAAAAAATCCTACTTAATTTTAATTGATTTTAATTTAGAGAAAAAAATTCATAGATTTTGACAAAAATGAAGAACCCAAAATAACGTCAAAAAAATCCACAAAAAAATCGTCATCCTTTAATAGTCAGCTGTGCTTATTTTAATTTGTAACATATATAAATGTCGGTAGAAAAAAGTAAATGTTGATAAAATAGCAAGGATCACAAATCACTGTCCAAGAACCCCCAATCAGGTTTGCCTCCCCCACCGCTAGGAGGGGTTTGGTGGGGTAGTATGCACTGGCCCTGCCCTCTAGTATCTCTTTCCTTAAACTTAATCTATCTATCATATCCACCTTCTTAAACCTTTTAAATATAAAATATCTATTTATAAAATGATTTTAAGGATATTTTCTATGTAACATGTCCCTTTATGATGTGGGCAATCATGGTTCTCCACAATTTCCTGTCCTTTGTAAGCTATTAGTAAATTTTGTCTTTTTTCCATCTCTCCTAAACCCTGTTCTGCCAACCATTTTACACAAGCTTGTTAGGTAGGTTATGCATGGTTTTCCTCTATTCCTCATATATCTTGTGAATGTCAAATTTTCTAAGCTCTCTTTCCTCATTATGTACCCCAGAAATTTCATCTCACTCTTTCTGATGTTAAGTATTATTGTCTTTTTTGCTTCCAATTTCTCTCAAACTTTGTTCTTGCTCACATGTTCAGTCCAGAATATTCTTAACATTTCTGTTGCTTCAAGTCTCTTCATCGGTGAGGAGATTGTCCAGCATTCACTGCTATGAAAGAGGATTGATATTACATATCAGTTAAGTATTCTTTTCTTTGTTTCTAGTGAAATTTTCCTGTTTCTTAATACTTTATTCAGCTTTTGGAAGGCATCATTCACTATCCCAATGCACCTTCAGATTTCAGTGTCACACTTTCCATCCTCTGCTAAAACACTTCCTAGATATTTAAATTTTTGTATTTGTTTGATTATGGTATCTCTGATTTGTAATTTGTATGTTGGACTGTTCCTTTTGCTGACAACCATACATTCTATCTACTTGCAATTGATGTTTAATCCTTCCTTTGCTTTCCTTCACTACCATCTGTAGGAGTTCCTGTAGTTTCCTTTCTGTGCTTGCTATCAACACTGTGTCATCTGCTTATCTCATGTCGTTAAGACTGTGGCCGCCAATAATGAAAACTGGCAGGACTTCTAATTCTCTCAAAATCACCTAACTCTATAGGTTAAATAAGTCCAGTGAGAAGACACATACTTGTCTAGGTGATTTGCTGCCAGTATAGGTTCTGGACTATTCTAATATCATTTCCCAAATATATCAAGGTTACCTAGCAGTTCAAAGAGTTCTTTGTGATGTACTTTATCAAACGCTTTTGAATAATCTATATCTTACAATTGTTCAATTCATTTTGCAGTATTTGAATCAAACTCATTTATAATAGTCAGTATTTTCTTAATCTCTTTTTACAAATTTCTTATATTCCATTAAAAATGCATTCTACAGTCTAACTTCTACCAAAAAACAAAGTTATAGAATTAAAGAATGTGTTTTTAACGTAGATTTGGAAAAGTAAAAACTTAAAGTTACAATCTGTAATAAAAGAGAAATTTAAAAGATATCTCTGAATATAATTGGGAATTTTTACCATGGATTATGTCTTTAATAACTAGTGGGGAAATCCTAAATTTTCAGGAACTTGTTCTATAAAAGGAGGTAATCTTTAGGAACCTATTCTGCTTATTTTCTTTTTAATCTGAGAATGGAAACAAATCACTTTATAGTATCAAAAAGAATTAAACCATTTTGATAATTTAATAGAAAAACATTTCTTTATTAAGATATTTCCAGATTGAAATTCTATTCTCATCATATTTCTGTTCAGAAGTCTGATGCTTTTTGACTCTAGTGTCATCGGCTGTGTTATGGTTTCTTAGCTACATTCATCCCAAAGATTCAAAAGAAGGCCTATCAAATTTACAACTGGAAGATTTGCTACATTTTTAACTTCAAAATAGTAGGGGGCATGTGTCTATTAGAGTTTCACTAGGTGCATGTGTGAGCATAGCGTAACTAACATTTGGCCATTAATATATATGATTATTTTCAGATAATCCAACAACCAGTTCACTAAGATTTTATAATTTTAAGAATTGGTTTGTGCAAACTGGTAGGATGCCACCAATGCTGATAGCACACAGCCTCTCTTCTCCTTTAGATTAAGAAAGCTTTGCTAAGTTCACTTCCTACAGAAAATCTTCTATTTCTGCTACTTGATCTCCTCAATAAACAATTTGACATGTAGTGAACAGCGTCTATTCTATTTAAAATATTTCTGTAAAATCAACGAATATAAGAGACCCGGATATAAGAGAAACCCGGATATAAGAGACTTCTTCTCCAGTCCCGACAACTCTCTTATATCCGGGTTACACTGTAATTAAAGAAATGTCTTTGCTTTCTATTAGGTTGTTATAAGTAATTTCTGTTATTGGGAATCTGTTGTAACATTTTGAACAAACAAATTAATAAACAAAATAAAAGTTATTTATGACTCAACCTAATCAACTTTGAGTTAAATTCATAACTTATCACTTTTTCAGATCATGTTGTTAAGAATCTTTAATTTTATATGAAATTCTCTTTTCTTTTTTTTTTTTTTTCAATTAACAAAAGAAACTTGATTATTTTCAAAATTCACATACAAGTCTTTAACATCAAGCAAAAAATTGAAAACAGATTAAGGAATACCTAAAAATTAAAATGTCCTGTCAGATTACATAACTGACTGAAATATAGCTTATGCAAATTTATTAATTTTATCGTATATTTGTTTTGGTTTGTGTTTTGCCAATTTTTATAAAGTTAAAATATAATTTTTTCTGGCTAGTTCAAAAAAAAGCAAATCTTATTGAAACAACATTTCTAGATAAAGTGAAAATTATCAGCATCTTTTTAAAGCAATTGATCCAAAGTGTAGAGAACTCATATCTTTTAATGCTGTTGTTCACTTGATACAAGGTTCAAGAGCCATTCAAGGCAGAGGGTTACTGAATGGGATTGTTTTATGGATTAAAGAATTGTAGATTGTGAGGATATGTATGATAAATAGCTTTAAGAGATTAATAGTGTAGTTGTCCAAGAAAGCAGCCTGTTTCACAAAATAGCAGTTTCACAAATTTGGGGAGGAGCTGTCCAAATGGAACTTCTTTATTACCAATGGAACATGAAGGGAATGTAGATGGTTGACTTCTGTGTACATGGCAAGACAGGTTTGAGCTGTAATGCTCAAAACTGGGGAAACTAAAGAGTATAGCTTGTCAAAACATTTTCCATGGGAATAGTGATAGAGTAGTGATAGGCATGTGATTTTAGGTCTGTGGAAAATTCATTTATAATGACTGTATAGCAACTTGTTAGTACTGATGATGAGCTGGTCTGCTTAATAAAACAAAGAATTACATTCAGTCTGCATAACAAGAGAAACAAACAAAATATATAACTAGAAATATCTTTTGAAAACTGTGTTAGTGTTGTTATTATTATTATTATTATTCCTGTTAATCAAGTTTCATGTACAGTAATATCTTAACAGCACTTAGTAGTAAAATAAAAATAAAGTGGATCTCATTTACCCCTTGTAACTTTCCAAAGAAGAAATACAATGATAAATAGAAAATATATTTTGTGGAAGGAAAAATAGTTCTGTTAAATTGCTTCTTCAAAGCACATAACTATTTTTATTATCTGGATATTACATAACAAAAGGGAAATTATAGCCTTACATCAAATGATTGCAAATGTTAATTCTTACAATGAAAGATAAGTTCATAGAACAGAAAAGAGGCATAGCCCAAATTTTCTTATAAAGAGCAAAAGTTTTTTTTTTTCATTTTTTTATGCTAATTTTCCCCTTATAACAGGAGAGACCTATAGAAGAAAGATTTATTCTCCCATTTGTATCTCCCCCATTATGGGCATTATTATATCTATGATATAATAACACCATATTTCACATATGGAATGGATTGGCTGAAAGGAAAAGGAGTGACAAACATGCTTTGTTCTCAGAGAGAGTTTTATAGCACTAAGACATACACAAAACTATATATATATACATATTTACATATATGTCTCATGCAGAGAAAAATATAACATCTATACAGCAAGCAGAGTGTAAGGAGAAACTAAAAGGAAGGGTCTAACATATAATATGGAGATTCTTTTGTGTTTCTAGAGAAGCCATGTTTAGGACTCCAGATTCAAACAGGCCAGATTCATATACTATGTCCCAGGCGAGGACATATTCCACGAAGGATGAAATGGTGAGTCCTGAGTTTTTCCAAATTAAGGACTGCAAGCTGGAGTTTCTTCCTATATCTGGGAAAGATATATTCCCAAATGGAAATGGCACAATGGACTTATAAGCTGCTAGGGAGGCAGATTTAGCCTTTGCCCAGGTCAGTGGGGGAGGTGTTAATGAAAGCAACCTCTCAGTTTGGCTACTGTAAACTAATTCTCTGACTGGCCTTTCTCATCTGTTATGAAATGAAATCACTTAGCGGCTGTCACGTGACCGACATGGCCCAAAAGGAGATAATCGCCTTCTGTATCCCTATATCCTTAGTCCGAAAAGGATATATATAAAACTTGAGGCCTCTAAATGAAAGGGTTGGATCCTGTAGAGTGAATAGACAAAAACTCCCAATTATATAGACAGATGTCTTCTTTCTTTTAAATTTCTCTTTTAGTTCTGATTGCACATAACTTTTTTGTACTTTTTCAAATTTGTGTAAAAAATATTTTCTTTAATTTTCTGTAAAAAATTAAATATGATTTAATTCTGCTTAAATCACTATTTCTTGAAATCAGCTTACACAGCCTGCTCATTTTTAAATATATAAGAATTTAAAACAAGTAGTGCTTTGAAAACAACAGTCATACCTCTAACAAAACATTTATCAAATAATAACTC